GCTCTGCTGTCTGTGTCTATGGATTTGCTCGTTCTGGACATTTCGTATAAATGGAATCACGCACCGTGTGGCCCTTCATGTCTGGCTTCTCACTCAGCATCATGTTTTCAAGGTTCTTCCATGTGGCACCCTGTGCTGCCACTTCATTCCTTTTCATGGCGGAAAACATCCCAGCATATGGAAAGACTACATTTCTCTTTATCCATACAATGAGGTGGAGAAATGGAAACCCTCTTACATCGCTGGTACGAATGTAAAATGGTGCAGCCACTGTGAAAAACAATTTGGCAGTTCCTCAATAAATTAAACACAGAATTACCATATGAACCAGCAATTCCACTCCTAGGCATCTACCCAAAAGAACTGAAAACAGGTGTTCAAACAAAAACTTATACAAGATTGTTTATAGCAGCGCTATTCACAATAACCACAAAGCAAAAACAACCCAAATGTCCATGCCTTTGGTTTAGAGCAGCGGCCCTGTGTTAAAGTCATGTTACATTAAGATTTCAGATCTGCCAGCATCAGAATCATAGTCAGCGCCTGGGAATGTTCACACCATCAGCAGGCCAGGGAAAGTGGATCCTAACCTGTAAGGAGCAGGGTCACTCTGCCCCAATCCCACACTCCCTCCCAGGCAGCCCCTCCTGAGTGGATGCTGGGTGCAAAGACATATTGAATTTAAGGTGTTAGCTGAGTCTCTCTCTTTTGTAGAAGCTCATAGACAAATCCTATCAGCTAAACAAGGATGTGGTATGACCCTTGAAAATCGCATCCACCAGAATTATAGACCTGAACACACCTGAGCCTGGGCTTGAGGGTCAAAAGCCACGTGGCACCTAGAGAGAGTGCAGGTAGCAGAAGGGACTCGCGTGTTTTGGGAAGGTGCTTCTGAGACTTGGAGAAGATGTACCGGAACCACACCAGCCACTTGACTGTAAGTAGTTCAGCCACAGGTCTATGTTCCGGGGAGGCAGACAAAAAGAAAGACGACGGCAAGTGGATTCGCCTCCTGGGGCTGCCATGACAAAGTACCACCAATTGAGTGGCTTAAACCACAGAAATTTTTGCCCTTGAAGTTCTGGAGCCTGGAAGTCCAAGATGAAGGTGTTAGCAAAGCCTCCCCTTCTGAGAGCTGTGAGGGAGAACCTGTCCTGTGCCCCTCCCTTCACTTCTGGTGGTTGCTGGCAATCTTGGCTGTTCCTTGATTTCCAGGTACATCACTCTGATCTCTGCCTTCTTCACACAATGTTCTGCCTGTGTGCATGTCTGTGTCCAAATGGCCCCCTCTTTTAAAAGACACCGGTCATCTTGGATTAGGTCCCACTCCACTCCAGTGTAACCCCATCTTAAATAATTACAACTCCGATGAGCCTATTTCGAACTAGGGCTGTGTGTGTGGTACAGGGGAAGAGGCATGATTCCATCACAGGAAGAGAGCGTGGCAAACAGTGAGACTGGGATGGACTGAGCAGCTGGCATGCTGGGCTTGTAGCTTCCACACTCATTCCCTTGGGCATCCCAAGACACCTGTGGTGCAGCCATTAGGACCCTAATTTTAACAATGAGCTTCATACAGTGTGCTCCTGCTCACACAGTAAGAGGCACCACTGAGGATGCAGCTCAGGCAGTCGGGTTCCAGGGACTAAACTCTTTCTACTTTCCACTGGAACATGACCGTGCACAGGGACAGGGTGGAAAGAGGGAAAGACCACGGCGCACAACAGATGCCTTGCCTCGGAACAGAAGGAAGGAAAGGATGTCTTCAAAGCTCATGGGAGACTGTTATTAGGGAAGTGAGGGCAGGTTGGAGAGGCAGAGATCAGCACAGGGACCCTCTGACTCTACCGCCCATCTGCTCTAACCCCACAGACCTCCCTGCTGCCCTGGTTATGACACGTGCCCTCCATTCAGCTCTTCCTGCCCCAAGGGGTCCACTTGTCCATCCCTCTCCCTCCCATCTCTCAGACCTCCAGTCCAGCCACCTCTTCATAGTGAGCTCAGTCCTGAGTTCCTGCTCCAAAATCAAGGATTGCCCTATACCAGCATTCTCCATTCTTACTGCCTGCTTTATTTTCTCCCTAAGACTTTTTTCCATCTAATAGTGAATCTTTATTCTTGTCTATTTCCTCCGCTAGAATACAAACTTCATGCAGGAGAGACATTGACTGTTTTGTTCAGCGTGGGAAATTCAGCACCTACACTAGCGCCTGGCTCTTGGGAGGGCTCCATAATACACGCTGAATGAATAAATGTTTCTAAGCAGTCCTGGATGCTGGGGCTTGTATGTCCTTGCTTGGCCACCAGGGAGGACATGTCTAACGCCTGCCCCTGCCGAAAACCTGGGGACCATCTCAGCCTCAGGTGGGTAGGGCTGAGCACTGCACCCCTTTCAAACCCCAGTCTCCAGTCTCTCTTTAATAATGGTCCCCGCGACAGAAATTCTGGGCCCTTAGTGGCAAGTGATCACAGCTCTCGCCTGCCTTCTTTGGACATCAAAGGGTCAAAGGTCTGCCTTGCTTCTTCATACAGACATAATTCAGAAGAGCAACTGGGGTTTTCCAGCCAGGGGTGTGAGATGGGGGCTTCACAGCCACACATTTCAGCTCTCAGTTTCATTTTGGAAGGATTGCCTTGAGCAAGACTTGCCAGGGAACGAGAGACAGTGGTCACAATCTTCTCCTCCCCCTGCTCCCCTTAAGAAGAGACAATCTCTACAGAGCAGACATGCGGAGGGTGAGGGGACACCTGAGCCCCTATGAAGGGGATTTTCCTGAGGGTTTCCCAAAAGCTTAGTAAGAAAGAGTCCAGGCTGGTTCGAGAAGCCCAGACTTCTCTCCTTGTGCTCTCTGAGTTTTACATGGAAGAGAAGTTTCAGTGTGATGAGGAGCTCTTCGCTCCTGACCCTGCTGCCTCAGACCAGTGTGTGCAAGAAACACAGACCACTTCAGGAGTTTACAATAAAAGGCATTCTGTGCAGGAAATTGGTCACCCAAGCAAAGGGAAATCTCGGAATGCAGATAGGATGCTGAAAAAAAAAACGCTGAGATTAGAACAGCAGGAAGTCATGCCCGTTCTAGGCTGAAACGGCAAAGGAGAACTGGCAGTGGCCAGAGCCTGGGGACACCGCAATGGAACCTGACATCTAGCCACAGCCAGCTCCTCCTGCAGGGGCTGGAATCAGGAGTTGTGCGGAGCCACTGCCCGGGCAGCCACTGAGGCTGCGATGGGGAGGGATGCCCTGGCTTCCCCCACCCTCCCGCCCTCCAATCTCCTTCCAGGGCCTCCCAAGGGCCAAACCCAGATGGAAGCCAGCTGACCCCAGACAGGCCCAGGACACACACATTACAGATAGTGATTAGGCAGAATGGTGGCCCCATAAGATAGCCACACCCTAATCCCCAGAACCTGTGAACACAGGGCCTTGCATGGTCAAAAGGACTTTGTGGATGTGGTTAGATTAGGGCTCCCAGGGTGGGGAGATTAGCGGGTAAGCCTGATGTGACCACGCTGGTACTTACTAGAGGGGGACAGACATGTCAGAGTCAGAGAAGGGGATGTAACCGTGGCAGCAGAGGTCAGAGTGACACAGGGCCACCCACCAAGGAATGTGGGCAGCCTCTAGAAGCAGGAAGAGGTGAGAAAACAGACCCTCCAGAGAGCTTTCAGGAGGTTGGCCGCTCTGCAATGCCTAGACTTACGCCAGCGAAATTCACGTTAGACTTCTGACTTTCAGAATGAGAAAGAATAAATTCATCTCCTTTGAAACCACAAAGTTTTTTATAATCTGTTATGTCAGCAATAGGGAGCTAAGACACCCACAAATAGTATCTCATGTGTAATATTCAGTATCTCATATGTAACATTCAATTTGGAGAGCCCCCTTCCGAAGCAAAATAACCATAGGAAAGGAAAAGAGATAATGACATGGCGTTATGTCATGGACTTTAAGAAAAAGGCTTCAGCGCAGGCAGAAGATAGAAAATACATCATTGTCTAGCCTCAGGGTATCGTTCTAAGGAGGGCAGCCAGCTGAGACTCATGGCACAGAAATCCGAGATGAGCCGGAGAGTGTTTGAAAGAGAGATGAGCAGAGGGTCATTGCAGAAAAAAAGCCATCTGGAGTTCAAGTCGGGGGACACCTCGTTCCTACAGGCTTCCAGCCCTGCCCTGATGACCTCGCTATTCCGCTGCAAATGCCTTTACAAGCATCTGGGGAAGCTTCACTCATTGCAGTCCTTTAAAACCAATGAAGGAAGTGCTGATTTCTGTGGCCAGGTCGAAATCCTATGAACCTGCAGTTATGAAAAACATTTCAACTTAAGCACACTCCAAGGACGCTCGCTGTGGGGGCTGACTCAGAAGTTACCGGCAGGACTCGCTGTGCACGGGGTGTGGCACGCGGCGTTCTCAGAAGACACAAAGTGCCTGCTCCGACACTTGCTTATAAGACGCAAGTGCTTAAGGAAAGGCCTCCTTCTCGTTCCCACTTTTCTTGGCCAAACTGACATTTCACTCGGAAGTGCTTTTGTCCACTGCTTGTAGAACAAAGGAGTGAAGTATGAAGTGTGTTTGTGGAACCAGGAACACTCTTGGGAAGAGAAGACATTCTTACACAGAAGAGGAATCTGAGTACAGTCAGTGTCGAGAGTGTGCACCAAGCATCGCACCAACAGGTACCAGATGCTGATTCCACCATGGCCCACCCAGCCAAGGGGCGTGCAGTGGGCCAGCGGCTGACACCAGTGCTTGTCAGTTTTCATGCTTTTTAATGCACTGCTTGTTAAGTAAGCAAGGCGATATATTAGAAATGAAATTCCAGAAATGCTCTCAACCAGCAAAAGTAATGCTCATAAACAATGGGCCCTATCTTGTGGCTAGGCATCAAGCCTCCGGCATCGGAGGCCACATTCTACCTCTCCCATTCTCTCTCTCTCTCTCTGTCTCTTTCTTTCTCTCTCTCTCTCTCTCTCTCTCTCTCTCTCTCTCTCTCCCTCCGTCTCCCTCTCTCTCCCCCGTGTGTGTGTGTGTGTGTGTGTGTGTGTGTGTGTGTGTGTGTGTGTATTCTGTGTGTATTCAAGGAATTTTCTCAGCCCATTCACTGTTGTCTTTCAACAAAAGAATGCTTCCTCCAGGTTCCAATTTCCCAAGCTTCTGTGATTACAGTGGTTATGTTCCAGTTCAAATAAAACCACACATGTGTCTGAGAGCTGTAACCAGCCTGGCTGACCATGGAGACCCGGCTAAGCATGGAGACCCAGCTGACTGTGAAGACCTGGCTGATTGTGGAGATCCGGCTGAGCGTGGAGACCTGGCTGACTGTGGAGTCCCGGCTGACCGTGGAGACCTGGCTGACCGTGGAGACCCGGCTGACCGTGGAGACCTGGCTGACCGTGGAGTCCCGGCTGACCGTGGAGACCCGGCTGACCGTGGAGACCCGGCTGACCGTGGAGTCCCGGCTGACCGTGGAGATCTGGCTGACCGTGGAGATCCGGCTGACCGTGGAGACCCGGCTGACCGTGGAGATCCGGCTGACCGTGGAGATCCGGCTGACCGTGGAGATCTGGCTGACCATGGAGACCCGGCTGACCGTGGAGATCTGGCTGACCGTGGAGATCTGGCTGACCGTGGAGATCTGGCTGACCGTGGAGACCCGGCTGACCGTGGAGATCTGGCTGACCGTGGAGATCTGGCTGACCATGGAGATCTGGCTGACCATGGAGTCCCGGCTGACCGTGGAGACCTGGCTGACCATGGAGACCCAGCTGACCGTGGAGACCCGGCTGACTGTGGAGTCCCGGCTGACCGTGGAGATCTGGCTGACCATGGAGATCTGGCTGACCATGGAGATCTGGCTGACCGTGGAGATCTGGCCAAGTTGCTTTTGCTTATAGGATTTAGAAATGTCATTCCCCAAACAGCTTATACAAAAATCAAGCCCCCATCACACCCCACTAACACCCAGGCAGCATGAGGGCAGAGTAACCACGATCCATGTCCCAGGGTCAGAACTGGAAGTACAGCACTTTGGGAGTACAGGTAAAAGAGCATTTGAAAACATGGCCCCAATTTCACACATGGCAAAAGCGAAACCCAGAGGAAACAGGCAGGCATGGCAGTGAAGTCACCAGAGGTATCCAGAGCAGAACCCAGGTCTCAGAGTCCCCAGACTGCAAGCCCTAAGAATCCTATGACCAATGGCTGTCCACTCACCACAAGCCTTCTGCATTGCAGGTTGTATCTCAAGCCAACCACCATGTTGTCCCTCCTCGCCATTCACTGACCCCCCTGTCTACTCACTGCGATCCCCACCACACACCTGGGAACATCAACGACAGGGCAGATGGCTGCCACCACGGCTAAAGCCCCAAAGCCACCACCCTGGAAGGCTGGCATAGCCTCCTCCCAGCCCTGGGTTTTTCTGCCCATAGCGGTAAAGTCAGGGGGAAGAAAAGTGGCCGTGCGCCGTGGAAGACCTGGCTGATTTATACTGAGGACATCTACACAAAGCAGTCTAGTCCTAAGCACGTCACTCAGTACAATTTCTCAGTCCTTATCCCAGGCATCCTCCCAGCACTCTCACCTCTGCCCATGCTCAAAGCCTTCCATAAATCCTTCCCAGGGGGCTGGTATCTTTCCACCAAAATAGAGTTAGCCAGACCATTTGCTTCTCTGCCTGTTCACCATTATTCGCCTACATGCAGCTTTTCTCATCATGCCATCATTAACATGAAGGGGACCCCCCATTACCCAGGCAACAAGCAGAAAGACAAGTTCCATTTCAATTACAGCCCCTGGATGATGGCAACAGCCCCCACCTAGGCTCACAGGCTCCACCCTTGCTCCTCCAAGCAGATCTTTCAAAAAATGTTAAGTAGATTACATCTCTTCCCCTAAAGCCCTGCAGTAGCTGCTCATCCCATGCAGAATAAAATCCAAAGTCTTTTCAGAGCCTATGAAGTCCTATATAATGCAGCCCTTGGCCACTTTGCTGACCTGGTCCCCGTACCCCTCACTCATTCCATGCCAGCTCAAAACCTGACCACATGGGGGCCAGCCGCCTCAGGGGCTCTGAGGAGACTCTCCTCCCACATCTCTCCACAGCTCCTCCCCACACTCCCTTCAGGGCTCTGCTCATCCAAGAGGCCCTCCCTGACCACCCTGTCTGAAGTAGAACCTCCCAGTCCCTCTGTCCATTTACCTGCCTTTCCTTCCTTGTTAGCTGTTATTACCACCTGACATACAATTGCATATTTCTTTCCATAGATGTGAGTTCGGGAGCGCCAGGACAGACTCACTGGTTTTGTTCCAAGCTGATTTCCCGGAACCCAAAACAGCACTTGGGAGGTGGGTGGCACTTAATAAGACATCTGTTGAACTGAAGCACAGGATGCCACCGCAGAGACGACCATCGTGAAGACCTGGCTCAAGCTCGGCTGGGTTCTGTGATTTTTGTGCTGCCCAGGCCTTCAACCTTCCAGCCCGGCACCACCTTCCCTGGGAGCCTTTGCAGCTCCTGTTCCCTCTGCCTAGAAAGTCCCTCCCCAGGTCACTGAGTGGCTGGCTTCTCCTGATTCCTCCCATCTCAGAGCCAACAGCATTTCCCCAGACCAGCTTTCCTGCCCACACTATCTCTAGTAGCCACAGGCCTTTCCATCACATGGCCCGGTTTTAGCTCTCTGCACATTTCACGTTACTACCCACATGAGCTACCATGAAACTCTGACCAGTGATGTGACATCTAGTTCTCCCATGTGCACACAGTCCCAGCCAGCATGCTCACCCCAAAGCAACCCCACAGCTTCCCTCCAATCTGCTAAGGGGTAGAAGGGAAATCTACAAGACGGCAGGTGTGCCCGAACAAATCATCCTGCATTATTCATTGATTTAGTAATATTTTATTAAGTACATGTGTCAGGCACAGTCAGGCATGGTGTCAAGCATGGTACTGGGTAACAGTGATTCACTGTAGCAGGAAACACAGTCCCTTCACTCCCAGAGCTCAACGACTAGTTGCAATTAGCATCAGAAATTTAAACGCAGCTGCAAGAATTCCAAATGCAACTGTAGATACTTCGCCGTTAAGGAGGGGGCATAACTCCCCAGCCCTTCAGTGTGGAAAGGGGGGAAGCAGGTAACTTTACAGTGGAGAAACCTGGCAACAGGACATCAGGCAGGCCCTCAGCGTCGGCAGCCATACATCATGTTGGCAGCATGGATCCTGATATGACACGATGAAAATGGCATCTTACCTCTGTGGCCTACCTCCCAAAAACTTGTAACCTCAGTTTAGTCAACTTACAAACTCAGACAAGTTTCAATAAAGGGGCATTCAATCAAATCCCTGGCCAGTGCTCCTCAAAACTGTCTGTCAAGGCCATCTAAAACAAGGAAGGCTGAGAAACTGCCACAGCGAGGGAGACATGATAACTAAATGTCACGTGGGATCCTGGAACAGACAGAGGACATCAGGGCCGGGCATGGTGGCTCACACCTGTAATCCCAGCACTTTGGGAGGCCGAAGCAGGTGGATCATTTGAGGTCAGGGGTTTGAAACCAGCCTGGCCAACATGGTAAAGCCCCATCTCTACAAACCATACAAACAAACAACAACAGCAAATTAGCCAGGCATGACGGCACGTGCCTGCAGTCCCAGCAACCGGGGAGGCTGAGGCAGAAGGACCACTCAAGCCTGGGAGGCGGAGGTTGCCGTGAGCTGAGATCATGCCACTGCATCCCAGCCTGGATGACAGAGTACGACTCCCTCTCAAAATAAATAAATAAGACATTAGGAAAAAGTAAGGAAATCTGAATAAGTTATGGACTCTAGCTAATGACAACATATCAGCGTTGGTTCACTAATTGTAACAAATATACCATAAGAAGGTAAGATGTTAATTATAAGGAAAACTGGGTATGGAGTGAGTGAGAAGCTTACACAAGAAATCCTTGTAGTATATGCTCCATTTTTCTCTAGATTTATAACCATTCTGAAAAATAGTCTATCATTATTTTTAAAAGAGGATCATGTGGTAAGACAAGGGACTATCTTCAGAGGTAAAGCCTGCACACCCCTTCTGCAAACACCACCAGATTCCGTAACTAGCCACACTCAGTACAGGCTGCAATCTGCTCACAGGCAACATACCATGGGTCCACGCTTGCCTGTACCAATGAAAAGCAACATAGGATGTTGGCCACAGAATTGGATAAAATCAAATAAAACGTCCTTTCAAAAGACACAGAATGTTTCTTCTCACCCAAAAAGAGAACAATAACTGGGCACATTAGCTTTTATCTAGGCATGGTGCATGAGTTGAGCTTGGTTGAGGCAGGCTGAGTTAAATGAATACTTTCAAATCATGGAGAATTTTCTCTAGGAGACCGAGAAGAAGGAAGAGACAACCACTCGAAGGTTCATTTGGTTGCTTTTGTAAAAGTCTTGCAGCAGATCTGAGGAAGGGTTCATAGTGACAAATACCATAATGATATAATAATATGATGTAATTAATGTCATAATAATCATGATATAATGGCAATAAATATGTCAAAATAATAAATGAATGAATACATTGATTAAGCGCTTCAAAAATAATGACATAAGAATAAAATGATTTCATGGAGAGGCCTGATTTCTAACAAATACCAACATAAAAAGTCAAATAAAGAGTCATTTGTGGCTGGGTGTGGTGGCTTACACCTGTAATCCAAGTACTTTGGGAGGCTGAGGCAGGAGGATCACTGGAGCCCAGTAGTTCAAGACCAGCCTGGGCAACACAGGAAGACCCTGTATCCACAAAAATAAAAATAAAAATTAGCCAGATATGATGGTACATGTCTGCAGTCCCAGCTACTTGGGGGGCTGAGGTGGATCACTGAGCCCAGAAGAGAGAAGGTGCAGTGAGCTGTGGTCATGTCACTGCACTCCAATCTGGGTAACAGAGAGAGACCTTCTTTCTCAAAAAAAAAGGAATTTCCATTAGCATCACTTGGCAAGTTACCCTGGCTTTGTTTCTTCAACACCCCGTCGGAAATCTGATGCAAAGGCTCTGGTTGTAAATCAGCACGCCAGCAGACCTAAGGAAAGAAAGACTCCCGTTTCATTGGGTTCCATTTTTGCCTGCGTAAGAAAATTATGGAAGTTAAATCCTACAGTAGAAATAAAATCTACACCCAGTAAGAAAGGTCATGTTGGAATCTAAATGATACATGGAGTTTCTAGGAGAAACGCTATCCTCTATTTCCATTTCACCAAGGACCCACAGTGCATGAAACTGGCAATGAGGTGATTAAGGCCCAGCTTCCTGTAACCTCAAGCAATGTAGCTGAAATCAGGGGTCTGGGGAGGCTACCAGAATCCTACCAAAGTGCTGACCTTTGGCACAGTTTCCTTTTGTCCCCATCCACTTCCTGTTTTTAGATTACTCTGATATCGAGGAAAGAGTGTTAGACTCAGAACATTCAACATATACTTGTTGAGAACCTACTCTGCCAGGCACTGCTCTGGGGTCCTGAAGCCTGGGTTCAAACCCCAGGTCCACCAGCCCTAGCTACATGGCTACGGGCCCTTAACATCTCTGACCCTCGGTCTCCCCAGCTGTAATGGAGCTAAGAGTGGTACATTCTTCACTGGCTATTTTGATAATGAAAGGGGATAATATAGAACACAGGACCTGGCACGCAGCAGTGCTCAACAAAGGCTGCATCAGGAAGGTCTTCTTCCCATAAATCCTGAAAGCTCCTCCCATACTGGCATCTTTGCAGAGACTACTCAGAGTGGCCCCCATCCAGATGCACCCTCCAAGACTCTAAGACCAGCAAGCCCCACTATCAAGCCTTACCTGTGCCACATCAAATTATTGTATTAAGGAGCATTTTGCAAGACAAATATAATAGTGTTAATATTACATACAGAACAGCTTAATAGGTCACCTTCCCAGAAATGTGTATTTCTAACCACTTTTAAACTCCTATTCATGCTTCAGGGACAAGTTCAAATGTCACTTTCTCTGAGAAGCCTTTTTAGATTCTCTCCATACAGAACCCAATGCGTTCTCTTACCTCTGTGAACTTGGTCTCTTGTCATACTGTGTGGAGCGCCACCTACGGGCTCAGTTCACTGTCTCGGCATTTGACTCCCGGACTAGGGTTTCGAGCATCTCCAGTTCTGATTCTAAAAAGGACTGTAACAGTCAAGCCAATTGCTTAGATCTGCTGAAACAGGCAACAGGATCACTAGGTCTTGATGAAAGCTGTTTTAAGAAGACTAGACTAGCAGCTGGATGGATTAGTGAAGAAAGACCTGGTCAGAAAGACCTCAAGGTGGCCACACAGACATTCCAGCAACGAGCTGTATGAGCCTGCATGTTGCCAGCGACATAGCCGTCAGCCAGTGAGACCCTCCTGGTCATCAGGAAGACTCAGGAGCCAAAAATAAGACTTTTTTTTTTAACAACTGTACCATAACACTCAAGTATGTCTTTTTCTGCTCTAAATCAGGCACCTTAAGAATTAGAACTTTAGAACTTCTTAGTCATCCAAAGGTAGTCATGTGAAATCTATGAACATGACATGTGGAACTTCTGTTACTACTCAAAATGTATACTTAATCACGAGAACGAAAAGACAAGCCACAGAATGATTTTTAAAATTTTGTAAAACATATCATTAATTTAACAAAAGTACAACCCAACTTAAAAAATGAGCAAAAGACCTAAATGTTAGCAAGGACATGAAGACACAGGAAGCTTCATTCACTGCTGGTTGGAATGCAAAATGCTACACCCTCTTTGGAAGATAGTCTAGCGGTTTCTTACAAATCTAAACATATTCTTATCATATGATCCAGCAATTGGGCTCCTTGGAATTTATCCAAATGAGTTGAAAACTTACATCTGCAGAAACATGTGAATATGAATGTTGATAGTAGCATTTATCATAATTGCCAAAACTTGGAAGCAACCAAGATGCCCCTCAGTAGATGGGTGGATAAACGCTGGTCCATCCAGGCAATGGAATGTCATTCAGTGATAGACAGATATGAGCTATCAGGCCAAGAAAAGACAGCAAGGAAATTGAAATGCATGTTGCCAAGTGAAAGGAGCCAATCTGAAAAGAGGACATACTGTGTGAGTCCAACGATACAAATTCTGGAGAAGGCGAAACTATGGGGGCAGTAAAAAGATCAGTGGTTGCCAGGAGTTCAGGGAGAAGGAGGGAAGGGGCAGATGGAGCACAGTGGCTGGTCTTAGGGCAGTAAAGCTACCCTGTGTGATACTGTAATGGTGCATAAATGCTATTAGACATTAGCAAAACCTTCAACACAAGGAGTGAACCCCAATGTGTAGTGTGGACTTTAGTAAGTAATAATGTATCAATATTGACTAATTAATTGTAACAAATGTGCCACGCTAATGCAAGATGTTATAATAGGGGAACTGGAAGGGTAAGGGGTAATATGGGAATTTGCTATACTTTCTTTCCACTCAGTTCTATAAACCTAAAACTGCTCCCCTCAAAGAAGGCTATTACATTTTTTTAATGTATAATTGAAAACTCTTTGTATCAGTCAGGATAGATTATGTTATGCTATGGTAACAAATAACTTCAATGGCTTAAAACAACCAAGGGTTAGTTCTCACTTGCACTACCTGCCCTGGACAGGCCAGCAAGGGGCACTGCGACCCTCTCCTTAACCAAGCTTGAGTCAGGCACCTCTGAGCCCTGACTTGGTCCCAAACCTGCCCCCAACTACCTCCTCCCCATCCCTCAGCCCCACCCCACTCCCCACCTGTGCTGGACTCACATATCCCAATTTTAGGAAGATTCTACTAAAATCCTTTTAGAGGGAATCTCCCACCCTTGATATCTGGCTGCCTTCAGCAAGAATCCTAAATAGGCATAGCAAGAATCCCGCCACCCTTGCTGTCTCCTCTTAGTAATCTGTCATCCACCTATCCCTCATTCACCTTCCTCTCCTCCTCCCCTCCTGGGCTATAAATCCCCAGCTGTCTCCACTGTATCCGCAATTGAGTCCCCCTCTGTATGGAGGTCTCTTTTCCACTGTTGCAGAAAGAGTCTGAATAAAATATCCCTTTACTGCTTTCACTAGCGTCAGGCACTGGTTCTCCCTAAACACCGAGGGACCCAGGCTGATGGATGGATTTTGACCAGCCTCTGTGGCATTCCACTAGGCCTGCTCCATCCTCCTCCAGATTAGAATCTTTGCCTTAAAGAAAACAATGACTACATTTGACACAAACCGAAAATCTTGCTAAAACTGAAAATCTTGCTAAAGTAACAACATAGTCATACAAAATAAAGGCAACTAAGTAGGGAAAAACATTCACAAACACAGGAAAAGTTATTAAATGTAACCAGAAATTAAGGTAATGCACATTATACCCACAAAAAGATAGCCGTATTTCAACTATCAAATTAATTTTTCTAAGGTAAGGCCCAACGTTGGTAAAGGAAGTGGGCACTGTTCACTCGGCCCTGTAAACAGGCGGGGAAAGCTCACCAAAGCATCCCGAACTTAAAAATGTATCATGAGTTCAACCTGCCCATTCACTTCTAGCTTTCCCTCCTAAGATTTATCTGCAAAGGTATTTGACATACATTTCATGCTTGAAAAGAAAAAATATTTCAAAGGAATATTTCAAAGGAAAAAGATGCAACCTCATAAAAATGGCCAGTAGGAATGTTTAAAAGAGGGAAAAAATGAAATATGGGAAATTAATAGAATATACTGCTATAATATCAATAAAATATTATACATGAAAATTACAGATTCATTGAAGGGCTCCAGAAATCTTGAAACTGTTGAAAAGAATTGCTTCTGTGTGTGTATTTGCATTTTCCTGGGAAGAGGATTAACCACTTTGACCAATAGTTTTAAAGGGCTCGATAATTATCATTACAGTTAAATATTCAACGGCATGAAAAGATGTTACTATATATGTATTCTATATTATTACAGAAAACAACAGCTTTCAAAGCAAAAGAAGCAAGTCTAATATGCAGAGAAACAACATACTTCTGAATACACATGTGAATACATACAATACCAATATACTCAAAGTATTGACACTTATTACCCTTACAATCCTAGGTTTGGAGATGACTTTCATCCTCTCCATTTTACCCAATTGCATTTTCCAAATTTTCCACAGTTGAACCCTCTATTACTTTTGAAGTACGGAGCCTTTTATTACACTTATGCTGAAACTGGCAAGCAGCATAAATTCAAAGTTCTTCCCACCTGTTAGAAAAAATAAGTGAGGTGTTCTTAAATGTTTCTTTTTTCTTTTCTTCTGCAGGCCTGGGCCTTTTGAAGGGGTCAGGGAGGAGTCCTCCATTTCTTATAGGACTCTGTTGCCACTTTCTAGCATGAATGAAAACAAACAAAAGCAAACCTCCCTCCCCTCTGTTAAGCGTGGCTCTCCCTCCAGGTGGGCCCCCTGTGCACGATGCATTTCCCTACCTGGGATCCTGGTTTTGAACTCAGCAGTGGCTGGTACTCACAGGTCTCCAAGTGTCCAGTGGCAAATGCGACTGTAAATCTAAGAATTGTGTACCTCAAATCCATTGCTTTCAAAGCCTAACATCGTTTAAAACTAAATATCTTTATCTTCTCCTGAGGCTTAAATGAATTTTCATTCATTCATGTTTCCCAGGAATTCTCAGCCCGGGCTGCACATTAAAATCACCTGGGGACTTTTCTTCAAAGGGCAATGCTTATAGCCCACTGGGCGAGGGCTAGGGAATCTCCATCCAGGACTGCCTGCAGTTTGTGAAGACTCCCAGGTGACTGATGGGCATCCAGGATTGAGCTGCCTCAGCCTGCTCATTCAACAGGTATTCTTTATGCACCTGGACTAGTCTCCCGGGGCTGCTGTGATGAATCCTCACAGACACCCTGGCTTAAAGCAACAGAGGCTTACTCTTTCACACTCTGGCAGCCAGCAATCCTCAGTGAAGGTGTCAACAGAAACGTGCTCCCACTGAGGACTCAAGGGAACACTCAATGCCTCTCCTCCCCAGCTTCTGGAGGCTACCGGTGCTCCCTGATTTCCACAGTCACGGCTGCATCCCTCGCATCCCTACCTTTGTCACCACTTGGCCGTTCCCTCTGTGTGTCTCTTTAAATGACACCAGTCATTGAATTTAGGGTCCATTCAGCTAACCCAGGATGATCTCATCTCACGATCCTTAGCTTGATGACCTCTGCAAGGACCCTTTTGCCAAATAAGTCACATTCACGAGTTCTGGGGATGAGGACACGGGCATGTCTTTTGAGGGGTCACCCTTTGACCACCTGCCTCCTCTATTTCCACATGCCAAATGGCCTGCTGGTGCTTTGGGCACTGCTTTTAGTGAGTTTTCAGTCCTGAGGGAACAAGAGAGCTAAAAGTTGTGGCTGGGCAAGAGCAGGAGGATGTGGCCACAACTCACAGCACAGGCGCCTTGCCACGCCTTCTGTGAAGCCCAGGGTGGCGTTTAAGCATGAACTCCCTCCAAAGTCTGACCGCTTTGACCACATACCAGCTCTGAGCCCTCGGGGAATCATTTGACTGTGTCTCAATTACACAACTTTTAAGTGGGAATAAAATAATATTCCTTATCCACTTCACAGGGTTCTAATATTTCTGATTTTTAAAAGTATCTTCATCTGAAAGACCTAACATAGTACCTGGCACCTAACAAGCACCATATAGTTTTTAAAGAGATTTTTTTTAAGTAAAATAAGAAATGGACAAACAGAATCACACAAAATTGTCCTCAAAGACATGTTAACATATTCTGTGTGTTCTGTCTTTTACCTTTCAATAAAATATTTTATAGAATGAAAGAAACTAACACAAACGGAGTCAGGGAGGAAAAACTACTTCTATTTTGTTGAAAGAGAGGCAGTTGTTATAATCATTAAACTGTCTCCCTTCTTCTTTTCTTAACTTGAATAAGAATGATGATTCCTCAAGGACATAGAAATAGAAATACCATTTGACCCAGCAATCCCATTACTGGATAAATACCCAAAGAATTATAAATTATTCTATTATAAAGACACATGCACATGTATGTTCATTGCAGCCCTGTGTACAATAGCAAGACCTGGAACCAACCCAAATGTCCATCGATGATAGACTGGACAGGGAAAATGTGGCACATATACACCATGGAATACTATGCAGACATAAAAAACAATGAGTTTGTGTCCTTCATAGGGACATGGATGAATCTGGAAACCATCATTCTCAGCAAACTGACGCAAGAACAGAAAACCAAACACCACATGTTATCTATCACTCATAGGCGGGTGTTGAACAATTAGAACATGTGGACACAGGGAGGGGAGCATCACACACTACAGTCAGTTGGGGGGCCCTAGGGGAGGGACAGCGGGGGGTGGGAGGGATAATGAGGGGAGAAATACCAGATATAGGTGATGGGGGGGATGAAGGCAGCAAACCACCTTGCCATGTATGTACCTACACAACAATCCTGCATGATCTGCACATGTACCCCAGAACCTAAAGTACAATTAAAAAAAAAAAAGATTTTCTCAAAAGAAAAAAAAAAGAATTCTTCAGCGCAATGAAAGATTTAGCCTCATTCATTTTTCACAAATTCACACAATGACATCTGATATGGTAACTGTCTTGTGTCAACATTGTTTTTTGTTTAATGGTCAAATGTTAAGTTTCACAAAAAACAATCAGTTAGTTCAGTTAATTAAAAGGACAATCTCTCCCTCTGCTCAAATGGTTATAATATTTTTCTTGATTAGAGTAGGCAAAGAAAAACTCCTGAAAGATAGGATTTTCCAGATTCTCCAGTATGGTAGCTGATATGGTTTGGCTGTGTCCCCACCCAAATCTCATCTTGAATTATAGCTCCCACAATTCCTATGTCTTGTGGGAGGGACACAGTAGGATGTAATTGAATCATGGGGGTGGCTCTTTCCTGTGCTGTTTTTAGGATAAGTCTCATGAGCGCTGATAGTTTTATAAAGAGAAGTCCCCCCACACAATCTCTTTTGCCTGCCACTATGTAAGATGTGACTCTGCTCCTCATTCACCTTCGGCCATGATTGTGAGGCCTCCCAGGCCATGTGGAAGTATGAGTCAATTAAGCCTTTTTCCTTTATAAATTACACAGTCTTGGGTATGTCTTTATTAGCAGCATGAGAAGAGACTAATATAGTAAATTGTTACTGATAGAGTGGGGTGCTGCCCAAAATGTGGAAGCAACTTTGGAACTGGGTAACAGGCAGAGATTGGAACAGTTTGGAGGACTCAGGAGAGGACAGGAAGATGTGGGAAAGTTCAGAACTTCCTAGAGACTTGTTGAATGGCTTTGACTGAAATACTGACAGTGACACGAACAATGAAGTCCCGGTTGAGGTGGTCTCAGATGGAGATGAGGAACTTGTTGGGAACTGGAAAAAAGGTGACTCTTGCTATGTTTTAGCAAAGAGGCTGGTGGCACTTTGCCCCTGCCCTAGAAATGTGTGGAACTCTGAATTTGAGAGAGATTATTTAGGGTATCTGGTGGAAGAAATTTCTAAGCAGCAAAGCATTCAGAAGTGACTTGGGTGCTGTTCAAAGCATTCATTTTATATATTCACAAAGATATGGTTTAGAATTGGAGGTTATGTTTAAAAGGAAAGCTGGGCAGAAGACTTTGGAAAATTTGCAGCCTGATGATGTCAAAGAAAAGAAAA